TGCTTTACCAAATTTGTTGCATGAAATATGACTCAACAAGATATCACTGGCTCTACTGACCGACAGTTTTCAGAGTTCTACAAAGTAAGCAATCCAGGAAAGAATGTAGTTGAAGAGTAAAGAAGAATAGGTAAGAGTGCCACGAGTTGAAAAACTGTAGGAGGAAGGGTTGAGTTATGCCTTAGTGCCTTAACTTCTTCTTCCTAATGTGAAAAGTCAGACGAAATATTCTTTTAGAAATCTCTAAGACATTGGAAGACCAGGAGAAGTCAGAAGAAGGAATTAATCCAAGATACTTGACTTAACGTCGATGATGATGATGATGATGATGATGATGATGGACGTCTTTGATAGCAACCTCTCTCTCTTCCTGTGTGCCTCTTAGTTAAGCCTTTCTATTCCTTTGTACTGAAACATAAAATCGACTATGCATAAAACCCGGATATCCTGTAAACAGTTTTTACCACAAAACAACAAACAAACAAACATTAAAATGTAGGCAGGTTACCTGTATATCCTGTTTTCTGCTTTCTGCCTATCAGATAAGCCAAGACAAGAGAAAAGGGAATACAACAACTGCTTTGAAGTTTTTTTTTCATGCCCCTTATTCTTCTTCCTCATCCTCTTTGGTTTTATTTTAATTTTGCTGTTCCACAAACTTTGTAGTGTACGTATATGAATGTAGGCTTGATAACTTCCTGTCAATTCCTTTTTTTCAAAAACGTTTCCCAACTACTGTTATCATTTAAGAGGTAGCTTTTTTCTTTCATTAGACAAGAGGAACGCATTCAATTTCAAAGAGGTTTTCCACCAGGGGATTGAACTTCAATTGACATAGATTCATTTTGAAGTGTATTGCATTAATTAGTGACCTGTGTTTTACTATTAGTTTTTTTTTAACGAATAAGGTTTCAACTAGGCGTAGAGATTGAAATATGCAGATCATCGGATCTCTGTCCTTCTGGTTGTTTTCTTAACATCTTTGAGTTGAATCTTTCACTGTTAAACTATAGAAACAGCGGTCAATGTTTGTTTGTTGTTTTGTTCCCATTCAAGTGTGTGTGCTATATGTCTTGTTGACGCTCTATATCCTGTGTTAGGCGGAGTAATCTGAAGGCTGGCGTAGAATACTAGATAAGGAAAGTAAGTCAATTCATGAGGTTGTGAAGCTACACAAACAAGTATAAAGCTAAGTTGCCTCATCCTGGGCTGGGCCTCACAATGAATGAAACGGATGTCCAGTGTTTAAGCCACTCTGATCTGACATGCAAGTACTTGTCATTGGTTGATGTGAGTAACACCCAACTACTCAACTTAATTAATCAGTAGTATGTAGTGTTGTACACTGAATTACATTTATTTCAGAAGGTCGTTTCGAATTCCCTATTTTCTATCCCCTCACTTTCGAGTGTGATATAAGGCTATAAGTTTTGAGGTTTCATTATTGATGGTATTGTTTGTAAGGCGTGAGGTTGCTAGCCTCACACCTAACCTCCGCAAATTTTTGGGCTTCCCGCCAGGTCGACCAACATCAGCCGCAAAATCGAACCTCGAGTGAACAGTATCATACTACTTTAAATCACATATGTACATTAAGTTCACTTCATCATATATATATGTTCACATTGCCACTGATTACATTATTGAGAGAAAAACATGTCAATTGAAATATTGAACATTTCAATGTGTCCAATGTTCAACATAATCTAGTTCAAGTGCTTTTCTTTTATAAAAAAGAATCTATTTCTCAACTTTAATTATTCTAATCCTCTTTTCATTTATTCAACATATTTCTATAATATTCGTCTTTTCATCGCATGTTTTTTTTATCCGAGATGGAGGAAGACAGCATTCAATGTTACATTTGTAGAATAATAAACAAAGCATATTTGGGACTCCTCAGCAGTACGCACCCACCACAAGGGTTCGAACCCAGGACCTTCTGGTTACAAGGCGAGCTAGCTCGTAGACCATTGAGCCACTGGGAGCAGATCCAATGGTCCTTGAATTCTAACTTCTGCCAGTTCACGACATAGCGCGACCACTTCGCAATGTCTTCTTCGATGAGTTACTGCCTCGTCTTCAACCTGCTGTACCCTACTGGTCACGGCTTCCCACTAGAACCCCAGGTTAACTGCCTGAATAGGGCCAGTCACTAGTGAGCATCAGATTCATTTTCAAGTATTGGTTTTTGTAGGGATTTTGTTTGATTGCATGGAGGATTTATTCATGAGCTGACATCAGTTAGAGAACCACTGGAAAACCTGGGAGTACTGGACAGCTGTTTCGCCCTAGTTTGCGAAGTGGTCGCGCTATGTCGTGAACTGGCAGAAGTTAGAATTCAAAGACCATTGGATCGGGTCCCAGTGGCTCAATGGTCTACGAGCTAGCTCGCCTTGTAACCAGAAGGTCCTGGGTTCGAATCTCGGTGGGTGCGTACTACTGAAGAGTCCCAAACTAGGCTGACAAAACAGCTGTCCAGTACTCCCAGGTTTTCCAGTGGTTTTCTAACTGTTGTCAGCTCATGATTAAATCCTCCATGCAATCAAACAAAATCCCTACAAAAACCAATACTTGAAAAAGCATATTTGTTTCAAATCAGAATATGGTACATTTGAAGATGAATTATCAAATTCGAATCTGAATGAAAGATAGACAGTATAAATGAATGGAGATAAAAGTGAGGGAAAACAAGGCGGGGTGGAAGTAAATCTAATGCTCAAAAAACTGGGAATGGGGATATCAGAATGAAATGACAGTTGTACTAAGTAGTCTATGCTTTCTTTGATGAAGTTTACCTGATCTCTGACATTAACTCTTACCGTTTAAGTCTAACTCTTTCTATTCACATTCACCCATAGGATATTCGATGTGTGTGTTTGTGAGTATATCTTTTGACGAAGATTAAAAATGACTTTGAAAGAGTCTATTTCTACACTGGTGCGATAGAACACGTTTAAATAATTCGACTTCATGTGTCTTGGATATGCATAGCTTTAGGTAGTTACACCCACCCACACACACACAGATACAGACAGACACATAGGTGTAGTACACACAGCCAGTTACACACGGAAATGGTCATTGTGTAATAACTCACATTAAAGAAAGTTCATGAGGTGAAGATAAAAGCGAAAGTGGTTTTGTGTTTATCGAGGTAAGCGTTTAATGGCTAGTATGACCTGAATAACTTTGATTGAATGGAATGTTTGACTAATTGGAGAAGATGAGCATTAATAAGGGAGGGTTTGGAGGCAAAATTTATTTGCATGTGTCGGGGTCTTTCATGTCGAAGGGAACACCTTCATCCATTTGAGTTTGTTGTATATGCAGGCTCTGAGTGGTGAAAAGTGGTCACATCCATATCTTGAATTTCACTGTTGATCCCAATCAAGGCGGATCGGTCTTGTCAAGAGACATGTTAATTTTATCAAGTTTGGCATTGTGTACTTTGACGTATAAGTCGTGAAAGATCCAAGGGGCTTTAGTTCCTCATTGAAAGAGGATGGTGCGCATTCTTATGTCATGCTCATTGATATAATATTTGTGTAAAAATTTGCAACAACAGAAGGCAAGACCCGAAGGGCAAAGTACGCAGTTTCGAACACTGCGAATAACATTGTGTCTATTACATCAAATGGATATATCGTATTGAGTTGTGAGAATATGTGAGAACAGTATCCCTCTGGCACATGTTGTCTCTATTACACTTCCACAAAATGACATCCTCTTTCTCAGACTCCTGTTGCTTTGTTATGCAGCATAACTCATGGACTGGTAATTTTTATTAATATGCTGTATTACGTGTGCAGCCTAGGTCTTCAATACCACGTCTCCCCCTTGTCTTATTTTCAGCGCTCGTCATATATTCTCGTCATATTCGCCCATAATTCAGCCTTCACACTTCCACTCATCTTTTGACATTCTGGTTTCACTTGATTATTTGCCTAAAGCTCGACATCACTCGGAGATCTTCTTAGCTTGTATCCATTGTATGTCTTGAACTTTCTCAAGTTTTTTGAATAATAAATGATTAACTTTTTCTTCCCTAAAATCCCTTTATGCTTACCGTTTATTTGGCCATCTGGTCTTCAGCATCAAGTGTAGATGGATGTTGATGCAGTTCTGCAGCGGGTCAGAAATGCTTTTTGTGATGTATGTGCTTAGTTTTTGAGGCATATAAAAGCAGTGATATGATACTAGTTTTGAAAATTCTAATTTTTCACCTTATGCTTGGTGTAGCATCCTTCCCCACTGTTATCAGAGTAACAGTCTGTTTTTTATTTGTTTTCCGATGCTGTCTACCCTTAACATTTAAATGAGTGTAGCTTGCTGTCCAAATAAGTAAAATAAATAACCTCTTTCGACTTTCTCCGACAGCAGTTCTCACCCAATACGCTACTAAAATTCACCTAACGGGAATTAGACCTGGAAAAGAGTTAGATTTTTTGCGTGAAAATAGTTTAACTATCCCACGAAAAACACAAACGCCACTGATACTTCAAAACTTACAGCCTAAAGGCTTGAACCCACCATTCAGAAGGCAGATGAATTCAAAGAATAGGGAACTTTCCAAAGACATTGAATATTTCTGTGTAAGTTGTTCAATCTAAGTTTTATAGAAAAATATGAGACGAAGACGCATTATTTGTAAATTTTTTGAAGTAAACACCTTCAGTGTCACTACTGATAGCTCACTACTTTGTTTTCGGAGATGTTTATCATTGTATTTACAAATGAAAGTATCATTATTTATTGTGACTATAATGTTGAAATATGTTCAATTAATGGAGGTACTATGCCATTGTTAACATCTTATATTGTTTATTGTTATTATGTTATGTGTTAATGTAGATTCTGTTTTTGTCTGCCACTGACAGAATCTAATCCCATCACTTATCACTCAACACATTTCTGATTACCCGTTCCCATAGCCTCTCATTCTCTCTCTGTCTCGCTCGCTCCCTGATTGTTTTTTGTGTTTTTTTCACTTCCCATAGGATTCCATCTATTCATTTATTACAAAGTTATGCATATCAATATCAACCTGCATTCTACTGGGTCTAATTCTCGCTTATCATGTTTATGTGATCAAGGTAAGTGGTAGTCATCAGTGATATATTGTATTTCATGCATCTATTAAATAAGTGTATTTATCTATTATTATTAATAATGGTTATTATTATTATTATTATTGTTAATTAACCTTTATCATTCTATCAATCTTATAAAGTTATAAAATGGATTCATGTTCAAAATAACTGTGTCAACTAATCATCACTAGTTTGCTAATTCCTAAAATTACTGAAGACAATAAACAATTTAGCATTATAGGCATCTAGTTGATTAATAATAATAATAATAGTTTGCTGTATTCCAAAAGAGTACTTGTGATACAGAATGGAATTCTAAGCATTTCACTACACACAGTATTGCGTCCAGTTAGTAAATTAACAATAAATAAAATTCTACACAGATTACGGGTAATCTCAGTTAATTTTGACAACAACATATTAGCATGTCGGTAGCAAAGCCAAATTAAACAGAGAGTTCGAAGGTGTTGGAAAAAGTAGATACTACTGGCATATTTACTGGCGTAAGCAGAAGAAAGAAACAAAGCTGCACATAACAGAAAAAAGAGAAAGAGAGAAAAGGAAAAGAAAGAAAGAAAGAAAACGTCGTACCTATAAATGATATGAGTTGGAAAGACGAGATCCAGGTGTTGTTCTACTGACTATTTAATAAGTTAAAGGTTTCACGCCTACTGCTTTCTTTATCGCACAGAACACGAGCTAGGTAGGGTATGGTTGAGTTTTTGTACTTACTAGTGCGAGCATATAGTTTTCTATATAGGCTCCTGCTTCTGCCTGATAGGATACAACGGGAGAGTTGTGAATGAAGAGGGTGGTGTGAATTAGATAAAATGGATTTAGCCCATTTTTCACATGAGTCTATGTGCCTGTCAACCAGAATATTAACAAGTTGGTTAAGTGGCACGTAGCTTACCCTGTTGAAAACCTTTAACATCCTGCATAATAATGTATAGTCTCTCTTCAGTAGCCCTGGAAAAACTAAGGAGGAACAATAGAGAATAATAGGCAGAATGCGAGAGTTAACGAATTGTAAGAGTAAGGGTTGGGTTATACCAGAATGTCATGTAGGTGGTAAGAGGGAATAATTTCTTAGAAATCATCAAGATATGAGACGACCACTAAGGAAAGATCAGAAGATAGAATGAAACCTAAATATTTAATTTCTGACTTGGTTTCTATTTCAGTGCCATCAATGTTGCACACCTCGTGAGTGCTAACCAGTTTGTTTAGGTCAGGTTTGTGCCTAAAGGTGAAATTTACTGTTTGGCATTTGGAGGGGTTTAAGGTAAAACCGTTTTCCTTGGACCATTGGCTGATTTCTGATAAAAAGTCATTTAGTTTGACATCTGACAGGGAAAGATACAGTCAGGTCGTCAGCATATTTAACGAAGTTAGTGTCATTTGAAGATGGTAAGTCATGTAGAAAGAATGAAAAGAGAAGTGGGGAAAGTACAGGACCTTTGGGGACACCAGCTTCAGTGAGCACAGCAGACGAGGATTTGCCTTTGTACATAGTGTATTGCATTCTGTTAGAAAAGTAGGAATGCAACCAGTTAGTGACGCTGGAGTCAGTTTGTGTCATATAGAGCTTATTTAGCAAGAGACATCTAGGTAAAGAGTCGAAAGCAGAAGTGAAGTCGAGAAGCGTGCAGCGGACGTATTTGGCATCTTAATCTAATGATGAGACGATACTGTTGTGTAAGAGGGCTGCGGCGTCAAAAGTGCTCCTACCCTGTCTATAGGCAAATTGTTTGGGGGCTTCGAAGCTTTTAAGGGAAAGTTCGAGTTTAAGAAGTACTAGTTTTTCCATAAGATTTAGAGACGGGGAAAATATGGCAATGGGTCGGAACTTTACGTTACTGCTATTGCCAGGTTCAGGGATAGGGACTATTTCAATTGATTGATTAGTTTCAATCTGGATCACTAAAAAACATGGATTAAACAAACACCAGAATCAAGAGGCTACTTACTGTTGGAGGGATATTCTGTCCTTGTAAATATGACTCGTCGATAGTTCATATCAATGACTTGACTCCGGATTCAACTCTCTGGCCATGAGGTTAGTTCAATGAGCAGTAAGTCACTTGAACAGAAACCAGAAGTTAGAAAAGCATTGAAAACCAAAGAGTGCTGGACAGCGGTTTCGTAAGATTAGTTTGAGAATAATCGGCAGTACGCACCACCGCCGGGGTTCGAACCCAAAACCTTCTGGTTACCAGGCAAGTGAACTCGTAGACCATTCAACAGGCACTGGAACCCGATCATATGGCCAGCTCATGAATTCCAACTTCTGCCATTTAAATGTAGCGAAGGGGAGAGGGGTTAAATCCAAAGGATACATAATCAAATGAAACAGGCAGAGAAAGTAAAGACCTTCAGTTACCAAGGTGAGGAAAGGTTGATAGCTGTTTCTTTCTAAATACATGAATACAGGGTTTCAAGAGTTTCATAACGATTGCTTCAGAAAATATGAGAACAATTGAATTGCTTCATATATCCATCATGTTTATGATTTTAACGACAAAGCTTAACTCTAGACACTATTTAGTATTTATTTCCAAAATGTCTCCGATTCATACAGGATTTAGACGCAAAGTAATAATTTGGAGGATACCGTGCGACTTAGCCTTATTGCCTATGAAGACAGAAACAGTTCTGCACATTTTCTTCTCGATTTCCTTCAAGAATTGTACAGCCTTTAGCTGAAAGCTACTTGAATATGCTGTCTAGTTCTTGCAGTGGTCATCTGATATATTTGCACAATTAAAACAATAGGAAACGCAGAAGCAGTCAACAGTTTGATGGATGGAAATTCAGGTATCCCAGGGATTTAAGCAGACCGCCTCATAACCCATAGTTGCCTGACAACGACACCATTGTAAGGGTTTGTCCCTTTAAGATGCTGGCTTTTTTGTACATGTTAAGCATCCTTGGCTTTATTTAACCTTCCCCTTTTTATAGAGTACAGTTTTGCTTGTATCTTCCTGTCTATGATTTGAGTTGGACTCCTAATATAGTTTACCTCTTGTCTCCATTGTGTAACTCCTTTACCACTGTATGCGAAGAGTTTATTTTGGTTTAAACGTGAACTGTCTGGGTGTAAACTATATGGGTGTAATTTTCTGATCAGTACTTAGGAGCACGTTACGAACATTCTGTCAAGTGACTTTGCAAATAGTTAAGAATTGTTCTGTACATGAATTTGATAATTTGTTAAGGCTGTATACAGATGAGGAGGAGCCGGCAAAACGAAAGATGGCAGCATCCTGTTCTACAATAAGCGGGAATAAATATGTCAACTTACCACTACTATTTTATCTTTATTACGAAAGCAAGAACTAGAGTTTTTGCAGAATAAAGTGGTACCATCCTTGCTTTTTACACTGGCTTCCTATCAGCTCAGCTGCCTACAGGGCAAAGTCATAATTTAAATATATCTACAGGAACAATTTTAACATACTTGAATCGAGACTTCATTTTTAAACAAGATCTATCAATATATGCATACACTAATAATATATATATATATGTTATATTAACCACTATTCTGAACGATAATGATCATACACAATGGAAACTTTCGGCCTGACGCATTCAGATGAAAGAGAGGTAAAAATATCCAGTTACCAGGCTGTCAAAGAAAGACTGATAACTGCTTCTATCTAATGAACGCATAAATCAGGTTTCAGGCGCTTGATGGAGATGGCTGCTTCAGCAAACTTAGAGAGAATTGAGCTCTTTTGCCTAATGCTAATTGTGACCGATTTTGCGACGTCCATGGGCTATAGAGAAATCAGAGGAAGGATTTATGTTTCACGTAAAGATGTTGAAAAACAACGGCTAATTTGAAAGTTTCATCAACAAGTATGCAAGATCTGAAGTCTCAAACGTGAAGAAAAAGTCAATCTACATACCACTTGATTATAAAAGTAAAAACATTGCAGCATAAGTCAACAGAAGATTGAACATGTCACAATCCAAAGACAATCCTGCAGCAAAGCTTGTTCCTGTCCATTGAACAACTTCCCGTTTAGTAATATCAAAATTCTATATATATCCTTTTCAAGTTAATTCCAACTGTATATACAATTTTACATGTATCTGCGGGAGCTGTTACATTGGAAGAACAGAAGTGTGCGCCAAAAATGTCGCCTAGAAGGGTGAGGAAAGCTTCTCAAATTGACTATCAAGCTCAGAGAACAGAACTACATCAAAAAAGGACAGAAAGAAGGGCACACCTGCTATTTTCTGAACATACATCAAAAAGCATATGTCTGAAGGGATCGAATGCTTTCACTAATGATAACATCAGGAGTCTCCTTGACACGGGTGATGAGGTGGATGTCGGAAGATCGTTCAAAATTATTAATAGACAAAAAAATTCAATTCTTCTCAAGTTCGCAGAAACAGCAATCTCCATCAAGCATCTGATACCCGATTTATGCGTTCAGAAAGAAGTAGTTATCAGTCTGTCTTTGCCAGCCTGGTATATATATATATATATATATATATATAATTATTACTGTATGCATATATTGATTGTTTGGTTTCTGCTTAGAATCAAGTCTCGGTGTAACAACAGAAGACAAGGGCGAAGCAACAGATCGTTTTATTATGAAAATCAACACGTATTTATACATCTTTCAACTACATTATTATAGACAAGCGCAGTCATCTGATTGGTTGTTTAGGTAGACAAACGCAGGCTTCTGATTGGTTGTTTCGGGATTCCTTGACAAATAGAGTTCTCTATCTGCGAATCATATTTTGCCACGTTAACTTTGCTGTGATTGGTTGTTGACTCAGGCTTGTTCATATTTTCTCACGGCCCATATTAGTGACCTAGACCTTAACGTAGATTAGTGCCAACCAATCGGCTAGCAGCCTGCTCTCACCACACTCGTCCCCCCGTCAAATAGCTTCGTGCGCAGACGTTCCGACCTTCTGGGTGCTACATCCTCTAGTTGAGGATTGTTACTGACCGGCTTGTCCCACTGTACCCATCTTTGGAGCTGACTGGCGTTAACTCGTTTCTGTTTATCACCTCTTCGGATGGTATATACTTGACCCCGTCTTTTTGTGATTGTGTATGGTCCTTCCCACTTTGGAAGGAGTTTCCGTGAACCTAGCCCGCCTCCAACTGTATATCTCCTGTCTCTACACTTCACTTGGTCCCCGACTGCAAAGGTAATGCACTGCGTCCTTTCTTTCATCTGAGACTTCATGACATCACTGCGCTGCTTCCGTATTACATTCTTGACTGCCTCTTTCCTCTCTGCTTTTAATTTCGTCGTACTCCACTTTTGGTGCATGGGCCAGGTCTCATTGTGTACCGGTAATCGTGGTTTTCTACCATACATCAGTTGGAAGGGTGACTTCTTCGTTGTTTCCTGAGTGGTAGCGCGATGTGTTAGTAAAATCAGTGGAAGCTCCGTTTCCCAGTTCCCGCCCTTCGAGGCCAGCCACTCCTTCAGTGTACGGTTGTTTCTCTCCGTTAGGCCATTCGTTTGTGGATGGTATGGGGTCGTTCTGATCCTCTTGATGCCCAGCTGTTGCAAACGGGAAGTAAACTCTTCACTCTCGAAACAGGGACCTTGGTCTGTCAGTATTGTCTTCGGTACGCCGTGGTCTGCAACAATGTGTCTAACTACTGCATCTGTCACGGTTCTTGCACGTTGGTCTGGGATTGCTACGGCGTCTACCCATCGTGTCGCGTGTTCCGTCATTACCAAGAGGTACTGATTACCATTGGATGTCTGAGGAAATGGACCCATGACATCTACGGACCACAAGTCACCTATCGCGGTAACTGGAATCGACTGAAGTGGTGGTCGTATACACCGGTCACCTTTCATCAGCTGGCACCGTGGACATCCAAGTACGTATCTTGCTACGTCTTCTCTCATACCTGGCCAGTACATACTTTGTCTTAGGAGATCGGTCGTTCTGGCCACGCCTGTATGCGCTAGCTGGTGACATTCTTCTATCATGTCGTGGCGCGACGATTGAGGTATGACAGCCAGCCAGCTTCCGTCGTTCTCTCGCCAGGTCAGAGTCCCGTAGGCATTCACTCTGAGTCGATCCCTCTGTCTGAGTAGTGTGGTTAGCTCCTTACTCGCCGTAGTTTGATCCACTTCTATTCCGTTGGTGATCACCTGTATTACTGTATTCAGCGTATCGTCCAACCTCTGCCTACGTGCAAGTCTTAGTGGGTCTTGTTCTACTGCATGCACTCCGTAAGCGACCTCGGGCAACTCAGACTCATCTTCTGGTCTCGATAACAAATCTGCCAAGACATTTTCACTTCCAGGAACGTGTGAGATCGTAAAATCGTACTCCTGAAGACGCAACATCCACCGTGACAACTTCCCCCGTGGGTCTCTCGCTGTCTTCAAAAATTGTAGCGGCTTATGATCAGTTTCGATGTGGAACCGCCGGCCGAGTAAATAAGGTCTCCATTTGTCGACTGCCCATACCATTGCTAAACATTCTTTTTCTATCGTTGAATACTTTCTCTCTGCGAGTGTCAAAACCCTACTGGCATACTCAACGATTCCCTCGTCCTGTCTTAGGACCGCACCTATAGCGTAGTCACTGGCATCTGTGCACACTGTGAACTGTCTTCCTGGCACAGGTAGTTTTAGCGTCATTTGTTGGTGGTCGAGCAGCTGTTTAATTCTGTCGAATGTCCTCTGCGATTCTTCCGACCAAACAAACTTTGGCTCACCTAGTAGCCTGTATAGAGGGGCTGCTATCTCATTGAAGTTCTTCACGAAGCGGCTATAAAACGCTGCTCTACCCAAGAATTGTCTCAGTTTTCTCTTTGAATTCGGGGCTGGAATCGTTTTAATCGTCAAAATTTTCTCCGGCAGTGGTTTAATCTCACCATTTCCCACTTTATGTCCCAACAGAGTAACATTCTTTTTGGCTATCTGGGACTTGGTTTTGTTGACGCGTAGTCCAAACTCTTCGATGCGTCGCAGCACGGCTTCTACATGGTTGACGTGATCGTTTTCGTTTTGACTGTATATGACGAGATCATCACCATAAACCTCCACGTTTTTCAAGTTCCTAAGTAATAGCTTCATCAGTCGTCTGAACGTAAACGGTGCACCTGCTAGTCCAAACGGCATGCGTTTAAATCGATATTGTGTCTGACCCACGATGAAAGCCGTCTTATCTCTATCACCTTGTTTTATCGGTATCTGCCAGTATCCTGAGCGAAGATCGAGAACCGAAAACACATTCGCGCCTTGTAGGCGATCTAAAGTTTCTACCACTGTTGGCATGGCACACGGTCTTAACTCTGTCATACTGTTTAACTGTCGAAAATCAACACAGAATCTATACTTCCCATTCGCTTTTTTTACTAACAGCACTGGAGAGTTGTACGGGCTATCAGCTTCCTCAATAATGTCATCTTTTAACATCTCTTGCACTTGTCGCTCCACTTCGCCTTCCAGATGACATGGAACTCTTCGCGTTGTAAATGACCTTACTTTCGGATCACTTAACGGAATTTCATGATTCACCTTATCGCAATAACCGTATGGGTCGCCATCTCCAGTGAACAGATGATCGTATTTACTAATTAACTCTGTCACATTGTGTACCGTCGGCAGCTTAATCGCTGCTATCTCGCTGGTCTCATACATGTTGATATGCCCGTATTTCGTGACCACCACGTTCGCTTGCGTGTCGATTATGGCACCAATCTCACGCAGAAAATCCGCTCCTAATATCGTTCGCTGTAGTTCGGGTACAACAATGAAAGGAAACGTCACCTCGCAGCCACCAACAACGACCGTACAGTTCGATCTACCCGTTATACGCAACACATACCCGCCTACTGTTTGTACTGTCAATGAACACGGGCTAACACTCTTACATAAATTCTTATCTATTAACGACACGGCCGCCCCTGTATCTATCAAACATACTACTTCTCGATCATTCACTCGCAACTTCGAATACAGAGCGCCTTTCTCAATAGCCCCCACTAAATCTAGGTTCATACGAAAGAAAGAACAAGCATTATACCGTCTGAAATTTTTTCTTTTCCGCCTTTCTGGGCAGTATCTTCTCCAGTGTCCCGGCTTACCGCATTCAAAACACCGGTCTTTTCTATCAGCCAACTTTAACGCCGCCACTTCCCGCTGCAATGCTTCAATTTTCTGCTCATACTCGTTTGGTTTTGGTTGGTCTATAGCGGCTACCGTTGTGCTCAGCAGCTGTCTGGTCACCTTCGCCAGCTCGCTAATATCCATCGGCTGCGTTGCGTTAACCAGTTGTAATCGCTGAGAAATGTGGTCTGGGACACTCTCGATGAATTGGGAAGACAGTAACTGCGCTTCTGATTCTTCATCTAAAGTGGGAAGTGCGCGTCGAAGTAGATTAGTCAGTTTCACCGCCAACACTAGCGGGTCTCCATCAGGTCCAAGCTTCATTGACCGGAACTGCTGCATTGCTAGCTGTCTGTCTGTTTCGCTGTCAAACTCGGAAACTAGTCGTTCAACCAATTTCTTCCAAGACGCTGTGCCATTTGACCTGTCTACGCTGTCATATGCAGCCTTCGCTCGGCCTCTCAACAGCGTCCCCAAGACAACTGCCTTCGCTGCCTGCTCCTTGACACCCACCAGCTCAGCAACAGCCTCGAAGTCACGTAAGAAGCTCCTTATGTCTCCTTCTTCAAACGCAGCTGGCCACGGGATCTTCATTTTCTGGAGGCAGCGACACCAAATGTAACAACAGAAGACAAGGGCGAAGCAACAGATCGTTTTATTATGAAAATCAACACGTATTTATACATCTTTCAACTACATTATTATAGACAAGCGCAGTCATCTGATTGGTTGTTTAGGTAGACAAACGCAGGCTTCTGATTGGTTGTTTCGGGATTCCTTGACAAATAGAGTTCTCTCTGCGAATCATATTTTGCCACGTTAACTTTGCTGTGATTGGTTGTTGACTCAGGCTTGTTCATATTTTCTCACGGCCCATATTAGTGACCTAGACCTTAACGTAGATTAGTGCCAACCAATCGGCTAGCAGCCTGCTCTCACCACATCGGTGCAAGTATGTTAAAATTGTTTTTGTAGATATGCCTAATAATGACTTTGGCCTGTAAGCAGCTGAGCTGATGAGAAGGCCGCCGAAATAAGCAAGGATGGTACCACTTTATTCTGCAAAAACTGTAGTTCTTTCTTTGTTCAAATTAAATAGGAGGAATACATTTTCAGCTTTTGTTTTAAATTTCAACTAATTAAAATTATTTTGCTTATTTTCGTTTTCAATTTTTAGATATTTTCTTGTGATGATTCTATTGAAGACTGGCGAATGGCAGTCGATTATAATCGTGTATTTCAAATGACTCTTGAAGTACTCATCTGTATAATACATCCATTCCCCGGATCATATCTTATCCAATTTCCTATATCGTCTTCCTTCGTCGGTCCAGGCACGGAAATCTACTCACCACTTTATCATAATTCACAATCTGTAAAATCTATGAATATCGACAGTGGAACACCGACAGTGGCGTCTGTAGCATCCACAGTATCAGGTGGATCAATGACAACTACACAACAACTACTGTCTAAAATGAGCATAAATAAAACGTATATGCATAAACCATCAACTACTCTAGCCTCTATGCCTAGTATTCAACCGTTTACATCGCATACCTCAGTGGATCGTATACATGGAGGTCCAGTTAAAATGGTGTCTATTGATCTGATTCTATCAGTTCCAATGTTTTTTAGATTATATCTACTATTTCGTGTTATGCTGTTACATTCGAAATTGTTTACAGACGCTGGATCACGTAGTATTGGTGCAATGAATAAAGTGAATTTTGATACAAAATTTATTTTTAAAACACTGATGACAATGTGCCCTGGCAAACTTCTTCTGGGTTTTATTTTATGCCTATGGATTGTTTATTCATGGACGTTAAGAGCATGTGAAAGGTGAGTGTTATACCTGCTTTTTCAAAAATGTTTCACTACAATTGATAGTAGTTTATATTACGTGTTAGTCTGTCTAGTGAGACTTTTAGGTATAATTTGTGCCTTTAGATCTGAACTACGACAGCTAGGCAGTAGAAACAAGCTGATACCCACATGTTCACTTTATTTGGAATTACATTATCATAAAACATGCAGGAATAACAGGTCTTCTTCGGTTAGTCCTAGGTAGGGAGGTAAATAGCGATGTAAAACGATAGACAGATAGAGCAGGGATAGGTAGATAAATAGAGAGATAGATGTAACATTCTTGAATCGTATTGATTGTTGCTGCTCCTTATGCGACTGAGTCAACTGTCGGACAGACGGTTTTTGTGTTCACTTCAGCAAGTTTGATAAAAGAACGCAGAAGGAAAGGGAATCAAAGGAACTCAAACGGTTTTTTTTAGCATTTTTCATTCTTTCGCGTTCCAAGTGTGACTCGCAGCTTTGCATTTTCGCTAGTAGTGGTAGTGTGGTGAGAGCAAGCCGTGAAAAAATATGTACAAGGCTGATTCAACAACCAATCAAAGCAAAGTTAACGTGGCAAAATATGATTCGCAGATAGAGAACTCTATTTGTCGAGGAATCCCGAAACAACCAATCAGAAGCCTGCGTTTGTCTGCCTAACTTCTGATAAACAACCAATCAGATGACTGCTCTTGTCTACTTGCATAAGCTATAATAATGTATGTGAAATATGTATAAATACGTGTTGATTTCCATAGTAAAACGATCTGTTGCCTGGCCCTTGTCTTCTGTTGTTACAGTAATAGGGCTTTAATTCGACTGGGCATATTTGCTAAAATAAATTGAAGAATCTGGACTTCGCCGGTGATGTAATTATATTTATGTCTGATTTCCCACAAACTGGAAGATATGCAGGTGAAAAGCAGCAAGTTGGTAGAAGAAGCATCCAGAGAAGATAAAAATTCTTTCAGGTGGAAATAAAGAAAATAGAGGTGATGAGGATTCCTAGCCAACAGCGTCAGCAACAACAACAGAAACAGACAACAGTCAGTCAGCACATATGCAGATAATCTGTAAGAAGCAAACTCCTTCACCTGTCTACCTACATACCTACCTAGGAAGCATCGTTTCAACTAGAGGCCGACGGAACTGACGAGGATATCAAAAGTGAGGATCATCAGGAAAGCAAGACAAGCTTTCATTACTCTCAAGTTTGTGTAGAGATCAACAGCACCGCTCAATATGAAAAAAAGTGATCCCGATTTTCAACTTCAATGCGTGAAGTTAGTGCTGCTCACTATGCGGATCACACACTTAACGCGTCATGAAAAGCACCTCAGACAAACTACATACCTTCATCAACACCTGTCTTCGCTCAGTACTCAAGGTCAGATGGTGGGCTAAATACTGTCAGCAGTAGTGAGGGATCTCTGGCAATGAGTGAATCAAGCCAGCCAGAACCGACCGTGCAAAAAATATTCAGGAAGAAATGGAAGTGGATTAGCCATACTCTGAGAAGTAAGTGACATCACACGCACTGCAGGCCATCACTCGAGTGAGAGACGAATAGGAAGCGGCGAGTTGGTGGTCAGTGTGAAGGTGACGTGGAGTAGGAGGAGGTGATGTGAAAACGAGATGAAATCATGTGGGCAGACGTGGAGTTAGATGAAAACGTTGGTGGAGAAGCGAACGCAATGAAGACGTGTGGCTGAAGCCCTATTTTCCTCTAGGAATTTAGGGAAGCAATAATAGTAATAATACCTCTTAATCTGTCAAACAACCTTCTGCCTTTACGAGGTCTGCCAGCAGCCAAGCAAGGTTCAGATGTACGTCTGTCGGGAATTATACTTAGTCCACGTAAATGACTAGAAAGCATTCTACCTTTGCACAATCAAACTCTTCATTACTGAAAATGAACCCTCAAGAATAATAAAAAAAATCTTGCTCATGATTTCTACATTGAATATAAGACGCATGCAAAGATTATTATTGCAGCTTTTATGTGTGTTTCCTAACATTTTCAATAATTTCAATCTATGAAGATGCCTAATTTTATATTAATCAATTTCTCCAAAAGAATGATGAAATTCTACGAAAGACTGAATCTTCACTTATTCTGACCACATTTGTGGTCCAAGGTTCGATCCCCGGTCAAGGACGCATTCCTTTACCTCTTTAAACCAGTAATAAGACTAGTAAAGACTAAAGGTTGAGTCTGAGGCTAGCAAACCTATCCTGTAATAAAATAATCACCACTGCTATAGAAACTTCAAGCCTGTAGCTTCAATCCCTATGTTCCACTGAGAACGTATAGGAATGAAAAAAAAGAAAAAATTTCCCAATTAAGACAATTAAATAGTGAAGTAATTTAACAATATATGGCTTTGCAAGTTTGGAGTGATATCTGTAAAAGTGAAAAGAGTAATTCGTAGGTTACGGTCGACAAACTCCTTCGAACTTCAGGGAGGAAGAAAGTCGCAACCAGCTAGCATTTTTAGACATACTTCTGAGTCGAAGAGATGATGGCTCAATAATTTTTTTAAATTGTTTTGCTTACAGCTTGATTCCACACTATATTTTTGGTACAAGTATGGAATTTTCAGCATGGATATCGGTAGCCTAAATTTCGCAGACCGACCATAGATATCAGGTGTTCGTCGGCAGGGGATAGAACCTCGGACCATGTGCATGGTCAGCGAGAGCCCTAACCACTATGCCACCGACGGTCTATCTACAGAAAGCCCACTTGGACAGGGCTTCTGTTCATTATAGTATAAGAGGGGCTTGGTGAAGTGTCTATTCAAGAGGATTCAGCGTATTTGCACGGCTGATGTTATGGACAAAGAAAACGAAATATTAATGGATACTCTTGTTGAAAATGGATATCCTTTAAAATTGTTAATAAACAGGTGTAGAAGTCAACTAGTCTCTAAATCTACAACCCATACCGTCCGTAAGAGAAACGTTTTCATCAAATTACCACATGACGAGGAAATAAACAATAGGATTTTGAGAGAAGGGTTGAATTCAATCATCCGTAGAACCCTCTATGCAGGCGAGCTTGTAATTGTGGAAAAAGCTAAAAATATGCTTCACTGTAAACTTCAGAAGTGCACGAGTGATTATATCACATCCCACACAATTTACCAATTTTCGTGTGTGTGTGTGTGTGGACGTACATACATAGGGAGGAGTAATCGCGCTTTGCACGTGAGAGTGGGAGAGCATGTCCCAAAATGGTTAGAAAAACAGGTGAATTGTGACAAGCCATTGGATGCAGGTGTCAGACTACCAACTTCATCTATAGCTAAACATCTAATCGAGATGAACCGTGAGATTGATGTTAACTCAGCCTTTAAGGTCGGCCATAAAAACGGTCAAGGGCGTTTAGTGAAATACTCTGAGGCTATAGCTATTCGTAGACTTAAGCCCCCTTGTGTATTCAAAAACAGTTTGTTATTACTCTTAACCTACCTTGGTAATCCTTATTTGATTGGATTACCAAACGTTTGTGCTAATTATTCTTAATTCCTTTTTCTCTCAATTTGTTAAATTTCTATATATATTGACTTGAGAAGTAAATGTGTGGGGGATCAGATTGTTCGAAATGTATAGCGCTGATACATCACATTTTTCAGATAGTCTCTGTCTTCTAATAACGCTATCAAAATTTATGAAAGGGACTAATTGTTTTAAATTAAATGAAATTAGAATAATGTAGGAATTCTGCAGTCAAACAGTCCTTCTTCATACGAACCAAAACTATTCTCTTTGGATGTTTCTTTGCGATATGGAATTACTACTTTACCGACTCAAGTTTTAGGGACAGATTTTGATGCAGCCTTATCTTCATATCATAAATATCGTTTTATGAAGCCTTTGAGACAATTGTTTGATTCAACAGTGGACTGAACCAATTTTAGTTCCTTGTTAATCTTTTCCTCCTTAGTAACTAGACGACGTTTGACTCTGTTAATCATGTTCTTGGCCACAGTTATATTGGTGGTAAGCGAGTGTGCTGAATAGTAGTCTAGGTATCTGTCAGAATTTGACTGCTTCTTGTAAATGTTTATTCTAAGTTTACCATCCGGTTTTCTTTTTACTAAACAGTCCACGAACACCAAATCATTTTCATTTAATTCAATCTCTTTTAAATCACCCAGTAGTTTCCGAGATATTGTTTAAAAAAATTCATATGATGTAGAAGATTTGTAACTCAGGTGGATGATTTTGATGTAATTGTGTTCTGCAAGCTGGATGGGGAAATATAAAAGCTCACTTGAACAAACTGGAGTATGCTCTGACGATTTTGTTTAGTTGAGCAATGAAAGCCCCCGCACTCCTCAAATAAACCATCCAGCTCAGAAAACATAACTATATCGAAAAAGTACATTCAAAATATTGTGTCTGATTATGATGAAGGTATTATCGACGTACCTGAACCACATTTTTTGGAGCATTAGAACACATCAAAATTGCATTTGTTTTCTATAGTTTGGTTTGTAAGGTTTGTTATGTTTACACGAGTTGATCATGGATTGATCATGATCAGTTAGAGAGCAATTGATCAACTCGTGATCAACTCGTAAAAACATAACTAATCCTTACAAACCAAACTATAGCAAATTAATCTGATGCTCGCTAGTGAATTACTATAGGCTGGAGTTTCCTGAGTTCTGGTGAGAAGTCGTGACCAGTGAGGTCCAATTAGATGTCACGTGTGTGGATGGATGTCCCACCAACGACAATGGTTGGGGTCGCGCTAAATCACGAATTGGTAGAAGTTAGAATTCACGAGCCATTGAATCGGGTCCCAGTGGCTGAATGGTATACGAGCTTGCCTTGTAACCAGAAGGTCCCGGGTTCGAAACCCAGTGGGTGCGTACTGCCGATGATACCCAAACTAGGATGAAACAGCAGCTGTCCAATTGCATTTGTCTCTAATGAGTTCGTGAACAGACTGGCGACTAGCGGAGCCACTAGTGATCGTATAG